TCACTTCTCCCCCATCTCCATTTCTCCATCACTTCAAGAAGAAGCCGGGAAGCGCGGGGAGCGCTGCCTTCCCTCTCTCTTCCCTTAGAGGCTCGTTGCAAATATCCCATCCCGGGGTTTGGAGGCTGAGCGGAGGGTTCCCGAGGCCTGACCTCCCCCCGGAGGGTGCAGGGTCCCTGCCTGCCGGTTATTCCGCTCCTGGGCCCTTGCTGGGCCGGAGGCGGTGAGGCTCAGGCAGTGGGCACACCTGCCTTTCCGAGCCCCTCAGGGTCGGGGGATGCTGCGGCGGCCGCCTTCGGCTTCACAGTGCGGGAAGCCAGCGAGGGGGGCATGGAGCAGACCCCCTCAGGGCGGTGTGTGTGTGTTGGGGGCGGCGGAGGGGGCTGGGGGTGGTGGACACAGGTGGCCTTCAACCCAGAGTGAGTAAGCACCCGTCAAATCCTTAACCGGTGCTGCATCCCCTTTCTCCCTGCCCTCTCGGACGTCTCCTCAGCATCCTCAGTACACTCGGGGCAGGCAGAGAAAAGGCGGATGGGGAGGGATGGTGGGAGAAGGGATGTCGCCGGGGAGGTGGGCAGGGAGCATCCCTCCGTGTCCGCCTGCCTCCGAGCCTGTGTCTCCTCTCCGGGCTCCCCCACGCAGGGCCGTGCTCCGAGGGGCTGGCCGGTAGCCCCGGCGGCGGGGGGGACCACCCCAAGGGCAGCGGAGGCGGCGGGGGCTCCCAGGGCTCGTTGGCCTGCAGCGCCAGCGACCAGATGCGCCGGTACCGAACCGCCTTCACCCGCGAGCAGATCGCCCGGTTGGAGAAGGAGTTTTACCGGGAGAACTACGTGTCCAGGCCCCGGAGATGTGAGCTGGCGGCTGCTCTAAATCTGCCAGAAACCACCATCAAGGTACAACGCAGCTCGGACATGTTTCCAATTAGCATGATAGCAATCTATAAGGCCAAACTTCCTTGCTTAAAAACTCGGGAAAGCACTTCGGCAGCACAACCCTCCCTCTTCTCTCCACCCCCCCCCGCCCCTCTCCTGGCCCTGCCCGCACCCTGCAGCAATGCGGGAGAGGGGACACGGCTCCGTCCACAGCCAGCACCGCTAATCCGGCCTCTCCCTAGCAGATTATTTTTAATCTTCCTCTCAGTCCAATCCAAACCCGGCTCAGCTCTTGGGGGAGGGCAGAGGAAGGCGGCAGCAGATCTTGTTTTGATCTCGCTTTCCTTTGCCGTTGCAAAAACGTTTACACGCGAAAATACAAACCGACAACAATAAACCCAGGTGGTTCTGGCTGCAAAACGGCAGCAAGGAGGCAGAGCAGCCGGGTTTGCCCGGAGCCGGGGGTTGAGGGGGTGTGGGGGGGTGTCAGCAGGACAAGCCCTAGCAAGAGGAAAGGAAAAAGAGCACCCTAAAAGGGCCGCTCCACGGGGTCTCTCCCTGTAGATTTATAGGGGCTTAACTGATCCCTCCGTA